ACAATAAAACTTCCTTGAATCCTTGAATAAAACTTCCTTGATTTATTGCTTATGGCGACAGGCCATTCTGTGTTTTGTGTCTCTGCAGCCTCCTTACCTGATCCGGCTGTGGTGGAGCTGCTGTTGCTCTGCAGGTTTCCATTCCTGAGGAGCGACGGGGACTTCTGAATGCCACCGGCAATGCCCATGACCCCCAGCCCCCTTTCGCCTCCTCCTATTCCCACTCCTAATCCGCTGCTGGAAACCAAACCTGATCGTCCTGAAAGTGTTGAGGAGGAGGAGGAAGTGGAGGCAGCGGAGGAAGAGGGGGCAGGGCTGGCTGCGGAGGAGGTGGGGAGMGTCAGAGATGGAGCTGCCTCCGTCGGCTTCAAGTCCGTGGTAAAACAAGGTCCGAATCGGTTTCTCCAGTTGCCCTTCTTTTTCTTCTTCACGCCGTCGTCCGCTGCTGCCGCGGCCGCTGCGCYGAGCCCCAGCCCTGAGCTGGAGGGCTGCGGCCGCTTGTAGCCCACCGCCCCRGAGAGGCTCGTCGTTTCACTCGATGCGTGGCCGAGGGAATTTTCATACAGCTTTCCACCAACTCCTATAAAACAAGAACAAAACTGAAACGTTGCGGCGAGGTCTTTCTGTTTAGCAGAGCTGTAAAGTAACTAAATACAAAYACTTTGTTACTGTACTTAAGTAGAATTTTTGGGTATCTGTACTTTACTTGAGTAATTATTTTTCAGCCTACTTTTTTACTTCTACTTCTTACATTTTCACACAATTATCTGTACTTTCTACTCCTTACATTTTTTAAAAAAAGGCAAGAAATAGAAAGTTGTTGCTTTTATTTCATTTTTGCTTGTTTTCATTCCAGCTTGTTATTATAAAAAATAAATACTATCCATATAAATTGTGCCTCCTAGATAGAGTGGATTTAATTGTGGTTGAATGAGAAGTATAAATATGTAAAATTCTGATACCGTATTAGTTTGTACACAAACAAATCATGTCACACTCCAGCAGGACATAATCATTAAAATAAAAGGACTGTACTTAAGAAGTATTTGTATTTCATGGATTATATTATTGCATTTGGCCCGCTATATTAACTAAAACAGCTAGACTGGTGCATCCTAAATTTAACATAAATTAATTATTTTAATACAATATAGTCATTTCTGCATTGTTTTGGGGAGGTCACCTCCTAATAAATGTCATTATGGAAAATCATGCCCCTTTTCCACTAGTGCCGGTACGGTTCGGTACGGTTCCAAGCCATTTCCATTAGGCCAGATTCATGGAACTGGCCCTTTCTTTAGTACCTACTTTGTTGTGGTTCCAAGTGGTCCCAGTCGACACCAAAATGCGACGTCAGAACACTGTCACTAATTGGCTAGGGGGTGGAGTCACTGGTTGCGTCTAAGCTGCCTTTACAACAACTCGAGGCGCCATTTTTTCAATTGCAGCAGCGACATTAGTCGTGTTTCCATCCAATTTTAATTCAAAATTTTAGCAATTTTTTTTTATTTCAGAACTTATTGGGCAAATGTATGTCCATCTCTCATTTTGTGCATTAAGTCTTCTTCGAAAAACCCAAAAACCACCTCCACCAACTGTCCAAAACACGTACTGGAACTGGACTGGAAAGGCAATGGAAAAGCACCCAAACTGACCCGTTCCGACACTAACCGTACTGACGCTACACTAAGTGGCACTAGTGGAAAAGGGGTCAACTGCTCATTTTAAATCAATACTTTTATTTTTAATACTTAAGTACAACAAATATCAGATACTTTAAGACTTTTACTCAAGTAATCTTCCTAAAGGAGACTTTAACTTTTACCAAAGTAATTTTTTGGTAAGATACTTGTACTTCCACTCAAGTATCATTTTTTGGTAATTTATACAACACTGCCGTTTAGTACTATACGATAAAATGAGATAGCGGAAAATTTACAGGAAATTTACTCAAAACCTTTAAATAAAGGACTATTTGCACATTTTATTCTGCTGAGTCATAGCTTGTCTACAAAAGAAGCAACGCCTGTCTCCTTGTCAGKTAATGCTGTTTTGAACCAAGAGTTTGCAACATGCTACAAGAGTTAGCACATGAGCAGGTGAAATACATGATCACTTGTTTTCTCCTCATCTGTGCATAAAAACAACTAAAAATCAATTTTTTATTTAATTCCATCACATTATTAGGCATGCACATTTAAGGGAAAAATTTGGTGCATCTCTAAAAGGTGTTAAAGTCTTCAAATTTGCTTATTTTAACTTGATTTGGAATATTTGAAAAGTTATCACACCATCAGAATTTCTTCCAGGACTTTAAAGTACTTAATGTTTTTGAGTCAATTTGTCTAAAAGGCATTCCTGTCAAGAAATTAACAAATGATGTGATAAAATTATGAAAAATAAAAGCAAATTTAAAAAAATAATAATAAAGTGAAATGGTAGATAACAACCAAAAGTGCGGCACCTGCAGAGGCTGTAGTAGCAGACATAAGAGAACCAAAGAGAGTTGCAGTTCCCTCTGAAACTCCCCCCTCCAAACTCGGTTTCACCAAACAGCTGCTGAACGACGGTGGGGAGGAAAAAGAGGTTCCACCACCGGCACGCAACGACGAGTCTGAGAAGCTTAGGAAGTCGGAGGAGGAAGGGGCAGAAGGGGTTTTGCTGGCGCTGGTCAACAGCAGGCCTGGGAGACAAGAAACAAGACAGGTGGGAAACAATGGCCAACAAAATAACAAAAGAAGGAGAAGTGAAGCTGGCAAGGAAGGAAGCTAAACAGGATGCTGCTGAGAGAAATAAGAGCGGGGAAAAACACATTATTGCTGCGAAAGTTTGCCCAATGCTCTTTAGGGAGGAACAAAAACTAAAATGAGCGTTTTATCTCCAAAACAGTCAGCTTTTCTGGATCATATAGTCCTCCCGTTTATCAGAGGAAGTACGCCTCTCTGAAGGACACTAAGAGATAAAAAGACATTCAAGGTTTAAACTGGAAAAAAAAATACAAACAATGACTTCTCTTATGTCCTGACTTCCTTACATGCTCTACTTATGTTTTACGACAGGATCCCAGATTCAGATGAAGTTATCACAACCRCACCTGAGCTAACCTTGTCAACAACACAGTGCTCATTAGGGCTGGGTAAAAAAATCCTTTTAATCCATCTTGGATCAATTTCATTTAAATTTGGGAAAATCAAATCACAGGGCATGAGAGCGATTCTTCTTGTGCGCGCGTCTAAAATGTGGTTCTATATTTTGTCACTCCTGGCTTGCCGTATGTTTACATCCAGTTGACGTTCAGCGCTAACGTTAGCTTTCGATAAGTTGTCTGGATCAAAACAAAAGAAACTAAGGAATCACTAACATTATCAGCCGAGTCTCAGCAGAACTTTAAGTGCCTGTGACAACAAATTTTTTTAAAAAATATGAATGCATTTTTGCAAAGATAACATCGATAACACATTGTAAAACAAATTTCACGTTGCTGAGATGAACGGTTGTTGAGATATTTGCATGTGAAGAAACAGGAAGTGATGTCAAAGGGGAATGTCTGCATGTAAACAAAGCGTTGTTACAAAAGCTAACAACACAAACTGTAGAGACGAATCTGATGTTTCTTTAGGGTTATTTTTAGTCGCTATCAAAGAGAGAGGAGGAAGAGTTAAAGTTTAAATAATTTTGTTTTAATAAACAGAGACCAGCAAGTTTATTTCATTAAAGAGTTCTCCTTTGATGTCACTTCCTGTTTCACTTTGGCTGAGACAAATAAAAAAAATATGCCAATTACGTGACATAACGGGTAAAATCATGTGTACTATGCCAATTTTCTTAAGCATAAAGATGCTTTCTTTGACTATTTGTATTTGAAATATAGACATGTCACAGGCACTTTAAAGATAACAGAGACCATGGTGACTTTTGTTTGCAAAGATTTGCGCTCCTACACTGTAGAGAAAACGAAGCTTTGACGAGCGGCTCGTTAGRCGCTCGAACCAAACAACTGTATGTAAACATCTGACTGAACTGTTCTCCACAGCGTGTTTAAATGTGTTAAAGACGACATTCCAACAAAATCATTTAGTTTTGTCACCAATATTATTATTTTTAAACTTTAAGAAGTCTTAATGAAATCCACAGTGATGAAATGTTGTAGTTGTATTGTTTGTTTTAATTATTTATAAGTAAATTTTAATAAGTTATATTGAACATAACAGAAGCATTACAAATATAGTTTTCATACACTCAGAGTGGGCAGAAGTATATTTATATTAGCCTACCTCTTCTCCTGCAACCTTATTCCATCACTTCTTCTTCATCGAGAAAATTATTAATTTCTTAAAAAGGAATTCCTCCAACAACACTATCGCCTGCAATTCCTTTTTACTTTAAAACCTTTTAATTTGTGACAGTTTTCCTTCAAGATTAAACTGTTTAATATAAAAGTTTGTCCTTATGGTGAAGAGAAACAATAGTAATATTGTGTTTTGCAGCACTGTTGAACCATTTTCATTATTTAAGAGCAGATCGAATCGAATCGAGATTAATCGATTCAGAACCTTATGAATCGAATCGATCTGGAGAATTGTCCATGATACCCAGCCCTAGGTCTCATACATGCACACAGAACAACACCTTCTTACTGAGGTCGTCAAACCGTTGGTGTAATTGTGCTGCACTGGCAGTATTTTTTGAGGGGTGGGTGGGCTAAGTAGTAAGAGTAACTGATTTGTCATTGTATTTCCATTTTTCTAACTGTGGGGATAATTCCCGCTTGTGGGAAAATTAACATACAGCACCGTTTGCTGCCATCAACTCACCTTGATGGAAAGGCCCCGTGGAAACGGAGGCAGATGTAGAGGAGGTTGCCATGGTGACCACAGCGGYAGAGGGTACGGGTTTCCCCGAGGAGGTGAAAGACTTGCGCCCGCCCCTCTGTCCCACCGCGTGACCCCCGCCGCTGTTCTTCTTGTTCTTGACCTCGGATGCCGCCTTGCCAGCGTCTGCGGCCGGGCCGTCCTTGGAGCCGCCGCCGCCGGGGTGAGCGGATGACACCTCCTGGAAGTTGGCGTTGGTGAAACGGGCAGCGCTCTCCTCCAGTCGCTTCTGCGAGGCGGCCACCGGCAGCGAGGTCACGCCTCCCCCCGAGTTACTGCTGCTGTAGCTCTGGAGGGAGAGGAGGTGAGAAGTGAGGAATGGAGGGAAGGAAAAAAAGAGAGGAGCAGAATGAAATCAAGACCAGGTTAGAAAGGTGACCTCACCTTGTCTGGAACCATAATGTTTGGAAGGACAAGTGAGGGCGACAGGTCCATCGAGCCTTTCTTGTGTTTCGGTTTGTGTCTGTCCCGTTCCTTGTGTTTCTGAGCACAAAAGGGTGAAAAAAAAATGCAATTTTAAAAAATACATATTGATGCTGCTCAACATGAGAGAGGAGAATTAAAAACTAGTGGCAGGACTAGAAAAATATTAAAAAAGAGGAGAAGAAAGTAGGGGTGCTCGATAGTTATTGGTCCGATATCATAACAAACAGAACCGATATGTAAATGTTTGCCAGCACGGCGGTGATTATGCGTGTTTATTTTTACCCTTTTTTGGTCAAACCACTTCCCGTCCGGCACGACCCGAGCAACGTTCAAGTTGCGTCAGAAAAAACAACTTTCTCACTAGAAAAATAATTAGAATACTCTGTGCTGAAAAACTACCAGTCATTTTAAGAATTATTAATGTTTTATTTATTAATATTACTCTTTTGCATGTGACTAAATAGAGCTAATCAAGCCTATTGTTAGGTGATGGCCCTCTTTTGCATGTGACTAAATAGAGCTAATCAAGCCTATTGTTAGGTGATGGCCCTCTTTTGCATATGACTAACCTGTTTGTCCATGTGGAGGCAGTGCTAATAAGGCTGAGTTCACCTGAAACTCGTCAGACTGAAGAAGTCTCTTGGAGGAGAGACRAAACGTTTCACTAAAGAAGAACCCATCCAGAGGACCTACTTATTTTTTCTTTTTGAATTATTAATATTATTTTAACCCTGTATGTTACACACAAACTTTATAATTATAAACATAAAAGGTCAGAAAAATTACTCCCAATTTGAGAACATGTGATGTCCGTTACCTCCTGAATGCAGCACAAAGKCTGTACTGTTAAAAACGCTAACAACAACAAGCTAGCATTCAAGAACTCATCGGGACTTAATCATTGCTGAGGCTTTGGACAAATCCTATAAAATTGCCAGAGATGACGCAGATCTCAAGCAATTTAACGATGGAAATGATGACAAGCTGCCGTTCACCCTCGCTAAAGACCGAAGCTTTTATCACCTGTTAGCCACCGTTTACCATCGAGCTGCTGCTCTCTGTTGTGTCTGCCTGTAAGTATGATGCGGTCGTAATGCATTAACACTCTCAGAAGCTGTTTCAGTTAGAAAAATGTTTTAAATCATATATTAATAATAATAAAAACAAATGTACTTTGAATCTAACTTGTGTTAGTGCATTATCTGTTTTGAACTTGTGGAATGACTTCTGTTTTGTTTAAATCTGAGATTTTGGTCTTGTTTATTTATGTTATGATCTTGACCCATTTTTGACTCGTCTTATCTCATGGCATGTTATTGGTTATTATCGGTAATCAGCCATTAGAAGGAGAAAGTTATCGGTATCRGTTCTTAAAATAAGTTATTGTGCATCCCTASAAGAAAGTTCAAATTTGAGACATTCACATATTCGAATATTAAAATTAGAATGGATTATAAACAAGGAAGAGGAGTGTGTCTGAAAGGAGGAAAGAAAGTGGGAATGCAGCATTTTAAAAGCTCCATCTAAGATTAAAGCCAGGACAGCCACACAAAACAAAGAGAGTGATGAATAAGAGATAAAAAGGAGCATTTAGCATCTTGCTGTATAGAGACGCATCTAAGTGCCATGTGTTGAAGAGTAAAGGGGTCTTCGGGTTTCATCCAATCACAACGTTCCTCTTGGACCATCAAAGCTTAATTTACACCCTTGCCAACACACAGACACTGCCACCCTCCTCTCGCACCCGAGGTGGAGACTGGGTGCCAGCACATTTACACCTCACGTGCACGCCCGCCACTCTGACACCTCTTCCACGTTCGCATGCATGTGGACAGGTGCACAAACTCTTAAAATGCACACTTGCATGTGTGCAGTCATGCACGCTTTAGGTAATAAGCAGCAAAAATATGCACAGATCCTGAGAAACGAAAAAAAGGGGCTCCACGTGCTTGTAACGATCAGTGTCGGAGGCTGATATGCAACACAAGAAACTCGCCCACCCCCCTCCTCCTTTGAGGGTTTTGGTAAAAACTGATTGCATGGGGGGAACTGTGACAGTTTAGCCAGACTTCCTCTGTGAATGGCGGTTAACAGACACTGCCGGCCAAACCAGAAGATAGCAGCTTCGTTTTGTTCCCTCTGCACACTGACATCCCCCTTGCTAGAGGGAAAGACATATGTCTCTAAATGCAACTCAGATGATTTTAAAATTCACTTTACACTTGATTTTCATCTCGCTTCTTGACAATGTAGTTCCATTTCAATTTGTCTGAACAAAAATGCAACTTTAAACCTAAAATGGTGCATTTAAAACAACAATTTGACTATTTTTTATTATTATTATTTTAAACCAATTAGCCGACTCTTGAGTAATGCAAGACGTTCTTGGGTAAACTACAACTACTGAAGGCCCTGTCACACTATGACGTTTTAGACAACTTATGAAAATTTTAAAGACATCTACGTTGAAGATGAAATTGGAAAAAATCAACTGGAAGCTTCTTTTAGGCGTGTACATCCTATTTTTCTTACAAACTGATAAAATATTTAAATTTATTAGCAATTTAGACATAAAAATGTTTCATAAGTTGGCATAAGCTGTCCAGGCCTTTTGAAATTTTGAAGGTAAAATATCCACAAACAACAAAACTTTCTGAATTAGGAAACCATGTCCTGTATGAAACAAACAGTGTAGGTCTTTTTAAAGAGTTGTTGCCTCCACTGTGATATTTATTTCTTGAGTTGAATTTAAAACTTTGGTGGAATTGATTGCGAAGAAATGATTATTGTTTTATATTATTATAAAACAAGTAACGGATGCTACTGTAAGTTAAGTTATGCTTAGTTAGTTAGCTAAGTTAAGCTTAGAATGAAGTAGCTAACAATTAGCTTTTGGTTTAATTAGTAACACATGCATCCCACTTGTCTATTGGTCAACTAATTCAATGATTCCCAACCAGGGGTACGTATAACCCTTGAGGTACGTGAGCATATTACAGGGGGTATGTGGAAAAATTTTCCAGGTGTGTAAAAAAAATAAATAAAAATAGGACTGGGATATGTAGGACCCTATGATTTCTGCAATGTGGAAATCACAGATTTGACACAAAATGGAATCCAGTATAAAACGCAGAATCTCAGGGAATTTGCTCATTTGGGTGAGTTTCTGATGTGTTTAGGATGCTGCTGTTTCCTGTACCTGCCATTACCTGGTTTATTTAATTATTCACTTTCAAGGCAACGTTTTTATCTTTATCTTTCTTTGAAAAGAATAAAATGCCTGAGAACTGAACATTCTAGGGAATTAAATAGATAATTTTCATTTAATAATCAGCTGTTGTACATTATAGTTTTGGAGAATCATCATTACGTTTGACTGAGGGGGTATACAAGTCTAAAAAGTTTGGGAACCACTGCACTAATTAAYTGATTAATTAGGACGACTTCAAAGACTTATTTTCCATACTCTGTTACAAGAATCTGATCAACAAACAGTTTTTASAAAGAAGGCAGAAGAACCTAAAGTCTGGGCAAAAACAACAAGGTGTAAAGATAACAGAGAGGTGGAGAACCCAACAGACCTGAAGTCTTTAGGGTTTCCCTTGTTTTTCATTAACATTCCTGAGGTAGGTGTTGATGGACAGAAGCTGAGCCGAGAGGGTCGGGTAACACACACACTCCCGAGCACCCACACAACTGGGCGTGGGAAACATAAGACACACACAATGTAATTCTGACACAGCCTTATCAATCAGGTCAATTGATTATACAGGCGGAGACAAAACCTTTCAGCGAACTCTCTCCTCTTTTTGTCTGTCGCTGCTCATCGCCGGCCTGATCATTTAACTTGTCTGAGGGGCTTTTGAGACTGTGTGGGGTAAATGCGAGCTGTCCCTGACAATAACGGCATCTATTAAGGTTTTTTTTTTTAACTCTTGAATGCAGATCGCTGACTTCAGTGGGGAAAATCCACTTTTCAGGTTGACACACTTTGTGTTCAAAATGTCTCTTTGCACATATTTAATTGAAATAAACTTGTTTGAAGCTCAAACATGATCATTTTAAATCTTTGGACATTTAAACAAACTTGTTAGATAAAATTCTGACTGTAATGTTTTCTAATAAACTACTAACTTTGGATTATTTTTCAGGATTTTATTGTTTAGTTTTATTCACTGTTATTTTAATGTCTTGACAAAGCAAAAAAAAAAAAGTGGAAAATTTTCCTACTTTTGTTAACAGAACAAAAAGCCAGGATTTGAGTCTGAAGTGTTTGGGCAGGTATTGGTGGGCTGAAACCCCTGAAATTAATGCCATACAATCCAACTGTGGCTCTCCGTGTGGTGAACAACTCACGAGAAAAACAGACATACACTTCATCCATCACAGCCAAAATCCATAAAACAATCCTTTAAGTTAATGTATAAAATTGTGATGCTTTTGTAAGCAAGAAACTACAAACAAAGCAGCTTTTGTTAAATGGTTTAAAATTCAAATCTATGTCCTCGGGAGGAAGAAGGGTCACAGAGACGAGAAGGAGGGAAAGATGGGCAGAAAGAGAGGAACAGGAAGTAAGAAAGTAATCCGCCCTGGCCTGGCAGGAATTCCCCCGTGCAGTTTACCGCAGGATTTCTGACCAGGCATTGTGTGTGTGTGTGTGCGCTTTGTGGGGAGGGTTGTTTCCTGCAGGCCTTTTTAAGCAGCCGGTGTGGGGGATCTCTAAGCCCCTGCTGTAGGTTGACTGCAGGCTCTTACATCAAGGTGGGTACACATCTGAACCTCCAAATCACATAACAAATGCATGTGTACACGTACACGTACACGTACACACACACACACACACACACGCACACACACACACGCACGCACGCACACACCTAATCCCAGTGATCTCCGACCCAAGAATGGGGATAGATTAAGTGTGTATGTGTGAATGTATTCAAGCAAAAGAGGGGTTTTATCCAATGCTGCTCAAACAGTATTAATAAAGACAAATAAAACAGTGATCTCAATCCTAATTTCACAAAATAAAATTAGGAAAAAGCAGTAAAATTTATGTTTTAGGTCAATTCAATGAAAAATTACCACGTGGAATCAAAAAAAGTGTTTCGGGAAAAAAAAGCTGCTGCCCTCACAACATTCAAAGTGTAATTTACTGAGCTGTCTGTATAAACGCCACTTAGGAAGGTAAATAAATAATCTTAAGGGTGGGTTGATGTGTTTCTTTTGTCTAAAATAAATAACTTAACACAGGTGACTTTACGGGGATTTTTGTGTCTTTTGAGTTCAAGCTAAAAGCACAAAAATCAAATAGTTTAGCTTTTTTTWAAACAACAATGAATTTTAGAAACTGTAAGCTCCAACTGCAATGCAAAAAAAATTGTGATTCTGACATATTTTACATAAAACTGATTTGCTTATGTTTGTGTCGATGCAAATGTGGACTGTGTGACRACAGCTGTGCAACTAGTCTTGGCAGGTGGACTGTAGTGAGGAGYTCAGGAGGTACACTGGACAAATTAAGGCTTTTGCTTTAAGTGCACAACACGGTGAGGTATTTGACCGTTTCTGTTCCCAGGTGCAAATAAAAATGTTAAGCAAATAATTCAACACCAGCAGTGAATTCAAACTCTTATCTCCACAAGTGTCCACCATTATTAAGTGTTTTGTTGCACATTTGCCCATTGCTCCGCAGTGTGATCAGGTAAGAGAGCGTGTTTCATAAGTGGGAGGCAGAGAGGGGTCAGAGGGCTGACTTACCTTGTCCTGGTTTGGGGGTCTATCCATACAATGAGAGGAAGAGTCACTTAATCTTTGAGACCTACTACCACGGCCCCTGCTCCTTCGCTAAAAACCAAAGAGGAACTCCAAGTTACTGGATGGAACTCCTCCAGAGAAAAAAAGCTAAATGTTGACGCAAATCAGCTAAGATACTTAAGTTATTATAAAAAAAAAACACTCAAACTAAAAAAAATTAAATCAGACTCAAATTCCTAGCTGCTGTGGCAGTATATACTCAAATAAAACCAAATTTTAAATAAATTATAAGAATTAAAATCCAATTTTTGCAGCACATTTTGCCTTATTAGAAAAACATATAAAAAAAACTCTGAGAAATAGTATAACAACCAACAAAAGCTTTGTCCAAACAAGAAACTCAAGTGTTCCTGCAACATAGAGCTGGGCAGTATGACCCAAATTTTATATCACTGTATTTTCAACAATTATACCAGTATCACAATATTTGACAGTATTTTTCTTTTCATCACAGCTCAGCTAATAATAAACGTTACAATCACCTGATAAAGTCAAGGAATAGTTTCTGTGTTGAAGAAAGAGAATAACATCATCTGACCACAGTTTGCTAATCAAAAAGCAGCTTTTGTACATTTTAACTTCAGCCTGAGAAGTGACGGGAAAAAAATACCATCCAACACCGTGATACAGATGATTGTTAAAAAAATACTGATATAAAATTTTGGTCATACCACCCAGTACGACTGCAGCGTCTAGAAACTCTGGCAGTTGATTTTATCAAAAAATATACGTCCTGTTGCTCTAAATGTCTTCAATTCTAATGACAATCTAATACAATAATTACAAACACATTAACCTCACAAATAATTATTACAAACACTAAAACCTCATCAAATAAGGCTAAACTAAAGAACCAACATGGAGGTCCAAAACGCAAGAATCACTTTCTTTGTCACAAATTCTAATACCTCAGTTATTGTATAATAAGCCTAAAATCCAGCTTATTTCTTAATAATTTTTAAAAAAAACATTTTTGCCAAGACAAGACTCTGAACAACCAGTCAGATATTTTCACTCCACTGGTTCATAGACACATTTATAGGACTGAAATAGGAACAAAAGAAAAGTATTTTTTGAAAAGATGTGTCTGGCTAAAATTAAATACATTTGAGCTTGGACTAAAGAAAGATTAATCTAAGTTAGTTAAACACTAATCCTGTCAACAGGCGTAAACATCCATCCAGTGTTATTTTACGAAACTCGTTCGCTCTGCAATGTTGCTTTTCCCATCATTAATTCGCTCACGTTCGTTCTTGTTATCCAAACAGTTCCACCATAATGACATTATACCCCAGCATCGAAAGCAATTTATACACAATCAATGTAATCCATAACAGCTCCAGTCTTTCATTCAGTACTTCTTAAAATTGAAAAATGAGAGAATATTTGGGTTTGAGCACAACATAAAGCCAGTTCTGTCTGACATTCAACCACCGTACCACAAACAGTCAAATATTTGTGGTAGATATTTATTTGCCTGTCTCCAACTGCAGAAATGACATTTTAAGTCGACTTGTGACGAGAAGTCAACGAGTGATCTCTTTAGTGGGGATAGAATGGTTGAAGAACAAGATCTGACCCGTTCTGTTGAACCTGTCTTACTGTGTGTAATATTTGTTTTGGTGCGGGACGGGAAAAAAAGTCAGTGAAGTGCAGCAAAGTCAGAGAGCAGCGGYCAGGTCAGATCATGAAGGATTACAGTGTGCTGATCTGCCCAAGTAGCAATAATACGACTTGATTTGAATGAAGAGCAGGGAAACAACTAAAACATGCAGGACAGGGACACATTTGAACACAATCTGGTTTTTTTTCCAGCCAAATCACACGATTTATTAATTTGTTAAATGCACGGCCTCAATCAACGAGTCAAAACAAACGAGACACAGTTCCATGAATTTCTCATCCAGACGGCAGCGAGAGCTGAGAATAAAAGCAAAACTAAAAAACTCTGTCCCTAAAAATAACTTTATAAATTTATAAAGTTTTATAAATACGGCTTGGCTTTTTACTCAAAACAGAGACACAAACAAAAGCTTTTTCCAGAGTTTGTGCAGCAACACGGCAAACATTTCCAACCACTTCAAGAGACATGATCAGAAAGGAGAGCAGCCACAACACAGCAGTAATCTGAAACAGACCACTTAATACAGACGTTTGATGAAGGCAAATAAATGAAAATCTTTTTAAAATAAGTAATGATTCTCCATGAACCAAAGACCGTCACAATGATGTGACAGAAAACAGATGAACATATCGTCTACATTTGTCATGTTTTGCTGCTAATATATTTGTTCAATATTTTCTTGGGACTTGCTATTTTACCCAAACAAATAAACACTGCTTATTTATTTTCCTCCAAGTCTTTTATCTGCATAGATTATATTTTTGATTAAATACAGGATCCCATAGAGCAGGGGTTCTCAAAYRTTTTAGGTCTGGGGACCCCTTACAAGTGTGAAAATTTTCCATGGACCCCCCTCATAAATCCCATGCTGTTTTAGAAATTCTTCACTGTCATTTTAACCTCTAAATACTATGGGAATACTATTTTTTGTTTGGTTTAGTATAATTGTTTTACTAGTACATTGTTCCCCATATTCATTTTTTAAAATAAAATCCAAATTAACAATTTATTGTAATTTGCGAGGACACCCAAGATGGAGCTTGTGGACCCCTGGGGGTCCTGGGGCCACAGTTTGAGAACCTCTGCCATAGCACACCTTCTCGGCCCAATATGAACTGACACGCACCACGAGGGCGTGGACGGGAACAAAATTTCCAGAGATGTGACGCGAGCAGGGACGAAGGCAGATAAAGGTTGAACAGAATAAAAATATCAGGTGGAAGAGAAACAAGAAAATGGAGTCACAAACACGGAGARGAGGAAGTAGAGAAGTAAAAGCAGTCAGCACGAGATAGTAGAAATTGACGGGGAGAGGTGTGGGAACCATGACTAGAAAAAACAAAACATTGTACAAGAAGAAACAGATAAACAGAAAGAAGTGATAATTGAGAAAACAGAATGGTGTTAGGAGGACGGAGACAAAAGAGTTCAGGGAGACGAAAGGATGAAGGATGTGATAAGTTACGTCTAATGCAGCGAAAAAAGGGGGGGGGGTGCGAAAATAAAATGCATTTCTAACAATATCTATTATCTGTTCATAACAATTATAACAATAAAACTAAACAAATCATTTATATTCAAACACACCCAGCCTCCCTAACACACACACTTGTAATTACATGCAACAAACCCTGAAGCTGTCACGGCTCTTAATACCGCGTGTCGTACTTTAAACTAAATTCTGTCAATGAATAATTAAATAAATGGGAGGAAATCCAATTTATCCACACGTGTGGGAACAGGCTGAAGCTGCAAATACAGTTTTCTATAAGAAGTTTACATCTGGTGTAGCGTGGCGTTTGAGTTAGTAGGTTATAAATGCATGCAACCATTACAACAAAAACAAAAACAGGACACTTACCAGTTTGCTGTGATGGTATTTGCAATATCCACAGTATTTGACATTATCTGCATCTGAGCCTTGTTCTTCACATAATAACCCTGCAAACTGGGCACTGACGACATAAAAAAAAAAACAGGGAATTGAAAACGAACAATAAAATGTTTGTAAAACCCCATTTTGATGTGAGAAAATGGGAACTGGCTGATCATCTGACATGTCTCACCATGTGACGTGGAAGGCCTGTCGGCAGCCATGTTTGTTGCAGGTCATGCAGGCTCCGGTGGCCGCTTTGCTCTCTCTGCCCTGCTCTTCACAGATGTAACACGTCTGCACACACAGACAGACAGTTAGGATCATTCACTTCAATTAAAAGAGAAGATGAACACCTCCTCATTTAACCTGGACATGTTTCAATGACAAACGCCTGCAAAGATGCATTTTGTTACCTTGTTGTAGCGCTCGTGTGGCACAGACTGGAGTACGATGGGCTCCATAGTTGAGACGTTTGCAAACTCCACCTCCGGTATGTAAAGCGCACAAACCACGTGGGCCCAGCCTGTTAAAAGCCATAAAACACGGCTGTAAGCATTCGCAATTATGTGTCTGCACAATTTGCACACAGATGAATTAAGTGCCTGACAATGATTTGAAAAGAAGAAAGTGTGAGCCGAACTAAAAAAAAATTTAAAAAAAAGAAGCTTACTATTGAGAAAGAAATGCAGCAGGGCTCTTATACATTTGAATTTTGAAATTCCACACTTTTCCAAAAATGTCATCATATAAAGGCTGGGCAGTATGACCTCAAATTCATATCACGGTATAAATTGAACCCCTTTACGGTAACGGTATATAATGCGATAGAAAATTATCATAAAAAGCAAAGATAATGTAATTTTAGAGCATTTATTTAGCAGAAAACTGCAATCATAATCAAACCCAGCATTTTTGCTGTAGTGCAAATGAACACAACAGAAGTACAAAAGAATGTTTTATATATAATGCAAAACAATTTCAACAACAAACAAAAACATTTCTCAAATTTTCAACAATATCAAAATAAAGTTGATATATAAGTTGTTATAACCAGCACTTCAAGTAAAATTAGTCATTTAGACATAAAAAAAATCAAAGTTGGCATAAATTGCCTAAAATGTTATAGTGTGACAGGACCTTAAGGGGCTTAAGTGTGTACATATAGTCATAAAACTATTTCAGATAACTGGAATGTAAGTGTGGTGAAGCCAAATAAATGTAATATCTGCCTGCCATACAATGAACTTCTGCCTGCTGCACTCTCATCTTCATCATCAGAGCAGAACTGTTACATCAGCAAGATGGATTTATGACTGAACGAACGTCCACATCTTTTTTTTTTTATCATCTCTGTGGGTAATAATACAGAAAAAACAAGTCTTTTTCCCTGACAACTTGGGTGTGAAAAAAACTACAGTTGTTCATGCTTCGCTCTGTGCAACGTGCAGCAGGAGGGAGGGAGGAAATCATCCCACGTCCCGCAACACGACGGCATGACGTAACTTTTCTACAGCAGGAGGGGGAAATTTTTGAGGATTTATTCTCTCTATACGTGTTTTAAAGCGCCTGTGACATTAAATTTTTGTAATAAACATGAAAAGACAACATTGATAACATGTTGCAAACCAAATTTCACGCCCCTGAGATCAACAGTTGTTGAGATATTTGCATTTGAAGAAACAGGAAGTGATGTCAAAGGGGAATGTCTGAATGTAAACAGAGCATTGTTACAACAGCTGACAACACAGACTGTAGAGAAAAATCTGATGTTTCTTTAGAATTATTTTGAGTTACTATCAAACACAGATGATGATGTGTTAAAGTTTAAATGATATTGTTTTAATAAACAAAGACCAGAGAGTTAATTTTATTAATGAGTTTCCCTTTGATGTCACTTCCTGTTTCACTTTGGCTGAACCAAAACCAAAAGAAAATAGTCAGTTATGGGACAAAATGGGTAAAATCATGTGTATCATGCCACGTTTCTTACGTATAAAGATGTTTTCTATGAGTTTTTGTATTTGAAGGATATGCATGTCACAGGTACTTTAAAACGCTAAATTTCTTCATTTATTTTCAGAATRTTTCAAACTGCTGCTCAGCTGTCTCTGCACTMGCAGCCCAGTTGACACAGGTGAGATGACGTAACTGATGACAGTGCAGTAGATGGTAAATTTCTACCGTAGCCCAACTTCATACCGTTTCTACCGTCTACCGCATAAACCACGCAGCCCTACATCATATCAGTGAATGTATTGTAAATGCCCATTCAGTCATGTGGTTTTATTATCTGTATGCCTCAAATACCATAAAAACAAACACTATGGAGTAATATATTCAATTCAATTTAAAAAAGACTTTATTGATCCCAAAGGGAAATTAGATAAATGTTTTTATATATACATAATACAGCGGGTAAAATAAGTATTGAACACGTYAACATTTTTCTCAGTAAATATTTTACTAGAGGTGCTAATGACATGAAATTTTCACCAGATGTTGGTAACAACCCAAGTGATCCATACATACAAAGAAATCAAACCATAAATGTCCAGAAATGAAGTTATTTGTAATAATGTGRAATGGCACAGGGAAAAAGTATTGAACACATGAAGAAAGGGAGGTGTAAAAAGGCATGGAAAGCCAAGACACCAGCTGAACTCTCTCAGTAATTAGAAAACAAGCCTGCCCCTTGTCGGTGCAAATTAATATAAGCTGGTTCAGTCCCAAATGATGGCCAGGTATCACACAAGAACCATCTGATGATGGGTAAAAGTAAAGAGCTCTCTCAAGACCTTCACAACCTTGTGAGGAGCACCTGGTCGTGGTCGGTTTATGGTGAAATGATGTTCTTTCCACTTCTGAATTATGGCAGATGTTGCTACCGACATCTGGTAAAAAATTTCATGTCATCAACACCTCTAGTAATATATTTACTGAGAAAAATGGTGACGTGTTTAATGCTTATTTTGTCCGCTGTATATACTTTTTCTAATTAAATGTTTTTAATAATTTCCAAATATCACGTGTTTTAGTCTTCAGTACAAAATGATCTTTATGAGTAAAACTAGGTGGTCACTTATACTATCAAGAAAAAGGCTGTGATAAGATGTTGCAAACTGCACATGTAACAAGTTAATAATCAGCAGTTTTACAGCATTAACCAGGAAACATGCAACCATAGGAAGTAACTGTTCTGTTTAAAGATATTAAGGTGTTAACTGGACTTAAAACTTCATCATAAAAAGGGAAAAGATTTTATCATGTGAGGTAGAAAAATGCATGAAACCTGTAAAGCTGAGTGTGCATGCACCTATGGGTTTCCAAACAGTAACTCAACAGCCAAGCTCCTGACGAATAAAACCTCAAACTAGAGGTTTAATGTGGTAGATGAACTTCAATACATTAAATAATTAAGATTATTTTCTTTTATGTACAGCTAATGGGAACATAGTCTAAAAACACCAATGTTTGTTTCCATACTTGACATTTTTTCCCAATCTTTATCCAGCACAGGAAAACAGCAAAAAATAAAAAATAAAAAAATCCATACTTTTTAAGACTGCACAGTAACCCYGACAAAAAGCTTGATAGTTTTTAACTGGTAAGGCGAGCTCTTTGATGTGGACTGAACAAAGAAATTAAAATAGTCGATGATGGTTCTTTTCCAGCTATAATTGTCCGTCATTTCCACGCATCAAACAACAGGAAAGTCTGAGTGCTCCATTTACTTACTTTTAAGCTCTTAGTGACTTTTAGAGAAGATCAAATAATGGCTTTAAAACACATCAAACATAAATTATAAACCATCTCTGGTCCAAACAAAAAGGTCCATGTCAAACATACATTTCCCCCGCCGGGCCCCTTCGCTAAACCTCACGTTTACGTGTCGAAGCGTGAACTTTGGAATGCAGAATCTCACGTGCTTTAATTTGTAAAGTGGAAGAGTGTGTACCTAAGCAACTGTTTACTGAGGCCCAGCGCACACTCACACACACAGCTGCCTGTCAACAAAGACAAACTGGGGGCAGTAGAGTGACAGCAGGGCACGGCGGAGAGGCAACAAAATTGACGATAGGTTGAGGAGGAGCTGGAGGAGGTGAACAGCAGGTCAGATGGAGGTGGGAGTCTCCTACCACACTGGAGGTGTCTGTTTTTCCCCCCACACACAACAGCTGAAACAAAAAAACTGACTTAAACTTACAGTTGAACCCATGACCTGCCTTTGACCTGGTGAGTGGGGTGGAGGGGGGGAGCAGGAGGCGGGACAGGAGGGTGGAGCGGATGTGAAATGTGGCCAAGTTGTTGTGTCGAAGAATCTGGAAGAGCCCTATAAACTAGGCCTGTCGCGATAGTCAATAAATCAATTAATCGCACGATAACTTTTTTTT